TTATGTAATTCCCTACTTATTTGTATAAAGCTTTGGTTCTTTCATAAATAAAGAAAACCAAGGTGCACGTTGAACTTTGTATTATATAACTTCTCTTATCTGTAGATGACATTAATCACTTGCATTCAGTTTACAGCAGGGATCGGGATTTACAATGACATTAATCACTTGCATTCAGTTTACAGCAGGGATCGGGATTTATCTGTAGATGACATTAATCACTTGCATTCAGTTTACAGCAGGGATCGGGATTTACAATGACATTAATCACTTGCATTCAGTTTACAGCAGGGATCGGGATTTACATGCTGAGGTTGTAATTTTTTAAGACAGATTTTAATTATAATTGCAATACTTTGTCATTAACAACAGATAATACTCTGTTTGATATTCATATTTCTCTTATTTGGTGTTGCTCAGAGGATCTTACAAAAGACAGACTCACAAAGCATTGTAGAAAAAGAGGCTACAAAGCTCTATAAGTAACTATAGTCCTGCTATTTTCCTGTCTATTCCATTCATATTGTGGTCACTCCAGATGCCTTGGGGTGATAATTTGAGCAACAGGATGACGCCTCCATATTTATATAAATATCAATAATGATTCATTTTTTCTTCTTCTGAAAAAAATGTTTTCTAAGATTTTTTTGTGTTTTCGTATGAATAACAATGCAATATTCGTTCTTACGTTGTGGCCCCCACCCTGTCATGGGGTTCATGATTTGGACAAATAGAGTCTTCACTACCCGAATATGCTTCTACGTACGTGTAAATATGACAAATCATAGTAAAAATAATTTGTGGCAACTTTGGTTGAAATTGGACCAGTAATTCTTGAGGAAATGTCGAAAAGTTTACAGACAGATGAACGACATCACAAATAAGTTCAGAAACGCTCACCAAAGCTTAAACATGATATACTAGTAATGACGATGATTATATTGCAAATTGTTCAAACATTGAGCACTATTTTAACACGGAGAATTTTACACTTAAAATATATAAATATATTCATTCCTGTATATTTGTTAAAATTCATTAAATGAATAAAATTATATACAAGACAGAGAATGCCTTGCCATTCTGAAGTATCTTCTAATAGGAAAGGAACGGACATACATTTTGATAGGTATTTTTTTTCTCTTTTTTCACTGTTTACATTTTTTATATTTTAATGGGTATAAAAATGGATAGTCATTTATGGAATAAAAAAAATTCATAGAACACAGAAATAGTAAAACTTCCTGGTTAGCAATGAGATAACACATGTTGAGTCATTGCCGATCAATTATCGATCTGATAGAAACATTTCTTACTTGTCAAAAAATGTTGACGATCAAATACAAGGGCTGTATGTTCGATAAATAATGTCCTGAACTGTATGACATACAATACAGATATCATATGACAATAAAATTGGCTTTCTCTCATAATTGAATCTTTAATGAATTTATAACAGTTCATGTGACCACTTTTCATCACATAGTTCCATTGTGAGAAGCTGGGAAACAAGGGCTTTTCGAGACACTGCATGATAAATGAATGATAAAGAATCGGTAAACTAGAGTGAAAATAAAAGCTTAAACAAAGCTGCTGTAAAACTTGTTAGAAATCACAAATTCACTGAAATATGTGACATTTACAGCAACCAATACCTGTTTTATAGACAAATAAGCAGGTGGATTTCAATGATAAAAAATTATATAATTGGCATCAAAAATGGGTACCGTTCTTGCCAACAAAAAATTGTAACACTTATGTACTATTTGCCAAATTTCAATAAAAATATACTTGATGATGTAGGATTGACTTTAAGACAAATAGCAAATTTGATAGACATCACATCGAGGGTAGTTTACACTGTTTTTAAGACACGTTTGACGGTAAAAAAGCTTAGTACTCAAGGGTCACCCTATATTTTGATAAATGATTGAAAACGACAGCGTGTATGAATGTCTTAACAATTATTTTAAAATATCAGTAATTGGAGTTATCCACGTTTTTTGGATATTCAAACAGATAATGGAACTTGAATCTATTGCTTAAAATCCTCAAAACAAAATTTACCATAAGATGTACTTGACAAAAACAAGGAAAGTCTGGAGAGAGCAATTGCAAGAGCACAAAGACAGATTAATATGCAATGTTCTTAAATATTAGTGATATTCTTGTTCAAATTCGTATTTGGGGAGACAGTTTAATTTCTGGATGAGACTAGAAAACAATTTTTTGCAAAAAAAAATCGAAAGGTTCATTAGAGGAAGGACCCAGAATCAGGAATCCACTATATTAAATTTCTTCATGACAGCGTCCAAACCCGCACGCCCTGAAGAGTTAAGGGGTTTTCGGGATACATAGATAGTTAATAATTTTTCATATTAACAATATTCGCCAGATCTTTGACCTTTTGACTTATTTCTATTTCCAAACTTGAAAAAAAAACACATTTGATAAGAAAGAAACAAGTCCAGGAAATCATTGGATCTGCCCTTTTCCAGTATACCAAGGGTCATACCCAAAAATGAAATCTAAAATCAATCAGAAATTGGATAAATAGGTTACGGATATGTGTTGTAATTAAAAGAGATTAATAAGTGAAATACTGAAGACAAAATCATTGAAGAGCGTTTTTTCCTTTCCGAGCACCGAGGACATTATTTATTGAACAGCCCTCGTATATTTCAGGTGCCGTGATTAAATAAAAAAGAAGCTTTCGAGTTTTTAAAAGGTCTACATTCAAAGAACAAGTCTTCATTTGTCACTCTTATCGACAAATGAAATTGTAAAAAATACAGCGACGGGAATTCGAAGGGGAAAGACATGCAAGGTTATTGAAAATTATTGATTCAATTGATATCTAAAGGGCGTGGGGCTTTCCCTTTCTTTAAATTGGAAAGTTTTTCACTGCTATTTTTTTTTAAATTGACGGGTACAATCCCCGGCCCACTTTTTCAAAATTGAAACTATGCGCCTTTATATAATAATACTTTTTCCAAAATGACCAACATTGTTATGAAAAGCGAATAAGGCATGCAAAATACCTATATTGTTAAATTTATAAAATCCATATTCATTTGTGAATTTAGCATTAAGAATATATTTACAGTTAAAGGAAGAAACAAAAGATTCAAGGGTCATATTGCTTGCCTGTACCCTCTTGCTGGGAGAAAGCAGAAGTTCAGTATTTAAACGTTTAAAAATAAAAGGCGCATTATCCTGCAACGGCGTCATAAAGATGTTTTCGTGAAAATATGTCCAATCATTGGTTTTGTTTTGAAAAAAAATATTTTATGACTTTTCCGATATAAAAAGTTTGATTACCCATCATGGCCCCAACCTACCTCTAGGGTCATCATTTCAACAAACTTGATTTTAAAATTCCTGAGGATATTTCTACCTCGATAAAAGTAATCTTTGATAATCTGATCATTTGAATTGTTTTAAAGATCTTTCCTATATGATTCCTCTAGATGTACAACTTTAATCGCCCTTTTCTAATATAATCTTAAATAATGTAAAGTACTTGTGTGAACAATCAAACTTTTCTAAATAAATAATTTTGCATATGATCCATAAGATATATGTAATAAATATATTTACGAAATGATTTTATTAAAAATGCAACTGTCCATGAAATTAAAAAGATTGAACTTAAATCTATCTTGAGGAATGTTTTATACAGTGTCTTAAATTCATATGTTTTGATTTTAGTAAAATTTTGTGATTTCATATTTTCAAAAAGATTCTTAGAGTTTCCACATCTACATCTTATTTTCACAGGATTGAATGTTGTCTTCTCTCTCACGTAAGTTAGCATAGACTGGGTCATGAGGGAATGCATCAGGGATTAAAATAACGGCATTAAATGGAGAATGAAAAACAAGCTGGATGACCTGACTTATTGCGTCCTCTAATTAGCAATGTGAACCAATTACGCACTGTTATTAACATACATTTTTGTATTCGTATGAAGAGGATTTGTTCAAAATCTAATCCTTGAAAAGAAGAAAACACTTGTGTGGGTCTTCAATTAGACATTTAGATATATCGACGACATATTATAAATTAAAAATGGTTATTTCCATAAAAAAATATCACAGAGTCTAACACATCTCATATCATATCATATTTGGATATTGTACTTGAAAAAGACATTAATGGTAATCTAACAACCAACCATCAAGATAAAGTGATGACTTTGACTTTTCAATCGTCAACTTTCCATACTTATGCAACAAACAACAATTTTTAGAATAATAATTGTATTTATGTATTGAATGCGATAACTTAGTTGGAGGTTTCCGGTAGGATTAATTTTGGTAAAATATAAAAAAATTTTGGGGAAAACCCAAAATATGTACCGGATCAAAATGTAAAATAGGAGGTGCACAATGGTAATATGTAATAAAGATTCTGAAAATGTTTCATTAAATTTCACTCAGTGGTATAAGAGGAGTTGCGGATAAGAGATGGACATCGAAAGCGTAACAGACAGACGGACGGACGGACATACCGATTACAGTATACCCTCCCACTTTTCAAGCGGGGGTATAATAAAATTATTTTATCACCTGCATGTTGAGTTTATATCTCTCAATGGATTCGATATGCAAGAGCATGTTGTACGAATGAACAGTTTTTAAAACCAGGTAAGTTACTTTAGTATTGACAAACACATTGATGAAACAAGAATATCAACAGTCTCGTTTAAAATCATCATTTCGTAAATTCTTTTGTCAATACAATGACTTTGTCAGCAAATACAATCTATCATTTATTCAATTGTTGACTGATGTTTTTCATACTTAATTGTTAGGTCAATATTTACATTCTGAATTGTTAGTATATTTTTCCGTTATTTCCCGTTCATGACAAGGAGCACACGGTGGATGTGACCTGTCAGCTGGGGATGCTCATTCCTTCATATATATAGCAGGTGAAGCTTTTTTCCTCTCAAAATCACTAAATCTACATCATCTGGGTAAAATCGACTTATGGGTCGTACTCTTTATTAGTTTGGATATACTCTTATGTATATTTATATATATTCTATCAAATGAACATCTACTTATTTCGATCTTCAGAAAGAGTATAAGATGAATCACAGGTTTTTGAGGTATAAAGGCATTTCTTTTCGACATCATCCCAATAAATTCTCGGGTAGCTATCCGGTTGAGCGCAAATTCGTGTTCTTAAAATACCATTTAAACATGTAATAAATCCTTCACAAGTATAACAAGACTGATAATCTCCATCCACTTGGTCAAGACAGCTTGTCTTGCATCCTACAGAAAAAATAGAATTCTTTAAATTTAAAACAGTTTGTTCTACTTCTCATTGCTGAATTGTATTCATTTTACATATTCTATGTTATCATTTTTATGCAAAGGGGGTAACTTCTACTTATTATGACGATTTTAATATAAACGATTCTCCAAACATTAACTTACTTTTTGCTTGAAATAATCTATTAAAATCTTCCTTTATTTCCTCTTTCCAAACATTGAAATCTGCAAATATTTCACAAGATAAATCTTACTCTTAACTTCGGATGACAAAGCAATGTTATCTATGATCACTAAAAAATTTGATATATACCGGATTTGTTTTGTGAAGCTTGTAGAAGCAGTTCGATATGCATCTTTGTCTTATTTAAAAGGTTCTCCATATCTGCTCTAACGACTAAATAAATAAAGTTAACATAAAATAGAAATTGCTTTAAAAATAGCAATACAAAAAAATGTCAAAACAAATATCAGAACGTTAATTAAAACGATGTAAAAAAAAAAAAAAAGGAATGGTAAACGTAAACCAATTATGAATTAAATATACCAGTAAAACAGTATATTAATCACTATATCTTTTTTTCTTGCTGAGATCAGAGGTATTTTTTTAAGATTAAGTGTAAAATATATAAAGAATTTTATTTTAAGGAAAAATTTTACTCAAAGCTTGATTTATTCGCTTGATTTTATACTTTGAATAGACACTTCATATTTTTTCATTCAAAAATTTTCCATCGGCTTCATTTTGAATCTGTTTAAGCTATATAATTCGTATAATTTATTTAACCATACTGCTTTTTAAGCTGTCCATAAGATCTTTCAATTCACCGTTAGAAGTGTCTACGTGGATTTGTTCCAAAAACTCCTCTTTACTTAATTGTTGTTCTACTGCTGAGGGTAGATTTTGTAGTAGGAGCTTCGTGCTGATAACGCTAGCGATGACAACTGATATAATAACACATCCCAACATTAAACACAATATGCCGATATACTTCTGAGAATACCCACTTGTCCTTTTAGGGAGTTCTACCTGTTTTTAAATTAAAAACCAAAATGTATTGTTCATATGTGCCTTTTTTACATTCTGTCTCGGTTTTTTTATTTGTATTTTTTAATAAGATCGGGGAACCTGTATGAATATTATTCAAAAATTGATTTTACATATTCGTACATGTACCACATGCATTACATGTACCAATTTCACTGACCAATATTAAGTAAATTTAATTAAAAATAAATTAGAACTTTAAATTAAAACTATGCATGTAATTGATGCAAGTTTACATTTAAAGGCACAGACAAGTAAAATATTGTTAGAGAATTTTGTCGACTGTAACTTTACTTTAATAGAAGCTTTTTTTTATTACAGTTTTTTATCTAAAAACTATTTACCTGACTCTGGATATGTCCATTACTAATCTTCTGTTGAGTGATTGTATCAGACTAAATTTAAAAAGAGAAAAAATTACTATATAAAAATTAACGATATCGCCCTCATTTTATGGAAATAATCGAATCCATTTTCAAATACTTACATTCGATGATTATTTTAAGTATCTTGATCCTGTGAAATAGCTTTTAGATATATTTTTTTATTAACAGTAAACTAAAATTTTACAAGGCATATAATGAGTTTTGCACAATTTTTAAATTTTTTTTTGTCGAGGGTAAAGTAAACAATTGTTGACTGAGTAAGATTTGTTGGAAGTGAAGACTAAAGTGTTGCCTGAAGCTTAAGTCTGCATGAGTGACAAATTATATATTGTCCTAGCATTTGCTCAGATATTGCTTCAACATATTCACTGCTGACAAATCGTAAAACGAACATAAGATAAAATAATTAAACAATAAAATTCAAGACAAAATAAAATAAATAATAAATGAAATTTTTTTCAAGTTGCATTTTTATCCTTTATATGGGTCAAAAACGTAATTTGTGTCCAGCATTACCTTTCAAGATATCTCTGTTTTAAAGGTATGGTTTGACACAATCTTGTCAAAGACTCACAAACAGATTAACAAGGGACACTTATACATGAAAGTTCCTCTTTTTTGTTGAAGTTTTACAATACTCATTGTATTTTGTGAAGCAGAATTTATACAAAATCTTATGCGTGAAAAGATGAAAACACTTGTTATGGCCTTCAAATCGACATTAAGATATATCGACGACGTATAATCAATAAACAATGGTAATTTCCATTCCTATGTCGATACTATATATCCTGGTGAGCTTGAGATAAAAGATACCACAAAGTCTGACTCATCTGTTTCATATTTAGATATTTTACATGAAATAGGCGTTAATGGTAATCTAACAAATAACCTCAATGATAAACGTGATGACAATAACTTTTCTATCGTCAATTTTCCTTACATAAAGTATAGACCTTCATCACATGCATACATTTATATATCTCACTTGATTCGATACGCAAGAGTATGTTCTACATATGAGCAATTTCTAAAACGAGGTAAATTATTGACAAACAAATTGACGAAACAAGAACATCAGCAGTCTCATTTAAAGTCTTCATTTCGTAAGTTCTATTGTCGATATAATGAGCTTGTCAGCAAATACAGTTTATCATTGAGTCAAATGCTGACTGACGCTTTTCATGCTAATTGTTAGTCCATTATTTATAAACTGAATTGATGACGGATTTTTCTGTTATTTCCTGATCATGACAAGGAGCACATGCGGTAGTGACCGGTTGGCAGGGGATGCTCACTCCTCCATGGCACCTGATGTTTTGGAGGTCCATGCTTGCTCTGCTCCTATTTTGAATTGTTTTATGGACTTTTGATCTTTAATACTGGTCGTTTTCTTTATATGTTTCATAAAGCATATTAAATAAAAAAAAATAAACGTCTATGTACACTAGTAGGATGTGGTAAAAAAAAATTATGTAAGCTTGAATTCAGACTGTTATACCAATCTTACGATAAACAGAGTGAGGGTCTTCTGATTTTAAACTAAAAGAGCAAGGTTAAAGTGGCAGCTCTACACGAAAGCCAGACGAAACCCAAATTATATGCTTTAGAGATCTCAAGTAGAAATCTTTCCCTTTTTAAAACTTTTACTTAATATTTTATATTTTTACTTTTACTTAATATTTTATAAGTACCTGTATACAGCTATTTTGAAATGTGCAACCTACCGATTCATGAAACAGGTCCACAAATGTGTTTTGGTCTTGTGCTTTGGGTTTTTTATAGGTTTCCTAAAAAGACATACATTTAATTATGTTTTATTAAATGTTACAACGTAATATTTCTTTGTCAAACTTTATTTTAAAAAAAAAAAAGAATGCAACGATCAAACTGTTTGAGAAGTTATGCACAGATTTGTTTATATTGTTTTAAACAAGATCTTATGGTACCACAGGATTCTCCTTTTTCTGCATGACTTAAACAATTCTTATTTGTTCAAATTTTTTGTTCATATAACTACACCAAAAGATTCGTCTATCTGGCATTTTCACAACTAAATTCTGGTTGTTACAACTTTCATGTAAATTAAAGCGTAAATGGTTCATGTTATAATGTTATAACAAAAAATTACGGTATTGACGCATTTCTTCTAAAAATATTTTTTCTCTTTTCATTAATTTTATTTAATTGTTTTCTGTCCCATTTGAGAATTTTTTCACCCAGACAGAGGCGTAACCATAGACAGGAATTTGAATAAACTAAGGAAAATACATGTATTCTCTACTGAACGTAGTATAGATATTTTCCATTTTCAATTTTCTTTAAGCAATAAAAAATTAATTTATCAAAAAAAGTCACATGAATGTGAAAAAGATTCTTTTTTTATTTTATAAAATGAAATATTAAAAATCTCTGTCAGTAATATCGTGTCATTAATAAAATGCATAATATACCTACCATTATAGCAAATATTGAAACTTCCAGCTAGTAAATTCTTACGTCTTATACCTTTCCAGGGTGCATTATAATGCTTATCTCTGAAATTGTGTAGTACCTCGAAAGTATAACTTTCTGTATATCTGTATAAGAAATTGTTCTTAATACACAAGAAAGGATAACGTGGTTTACCTTAATTTGATCAATACACAGGGCTCGAACCTGTAGACAAATTATTTCTACCCGTCCTTGGTGTTTTCAAGAGGTTTTCCCTTCTCCAGGTTTTTATATCATTTAATGATTTATAAGATGGGTCAATACTTTAAATCTTTCATTCTCTTCCTTGAAATAAAGCTTTTGTATTTTTTAAATACAGACTTCCGATTTAATGTTTAATTGGATTGTGATTTTTTTTTCTAAAGTATAATCTTATTTAAAAAGTCCAAGATTTCTTTTTTTATAATGAAATTATTTTACAGAAAGTCTTTTTGGATAGAAGGTTTACATGTCATTTTTACTACATGCCTGAGAAATGTAGAAAAATTCTTTAACAACATTTAATAAAATTCCCTTATTCAATCTTAGTCAAGAAATTTGTTAACTTTTTCATTTTAATTTTTTAATTTTTTTTATGTTGTAGGATGAAGAGTGCATTTTTAGTTTCTTTAAATCATATTGATAACATTATGTAGTGAAGGGGTTTTATCAAACATAATGAAACCTTTGTAATTTTATTTTACCCTCTTGAAACAGTATTGCATCTGCCCGAATGCAAGGCGCAAAGATAACGATCAGTGATCGATTTTTTAAAAAAATCACAAACATCTCAAAGGATTTGTACAAATAAGGTGACAAAGATACGGACCTCTGGACATTCTTCAAGTGGGATCAGGTGCTTATGACAAGTAAGTTACCCTGTCGACCGATCACACCCGGCATGAGGTCTATGTTTCGATCAAGCAGACTCAACATTTTGTATATACATGTACTGATAATTTAAGCATAAAAAGCAAATACCTTAGAATTAGTATGAAACAAGTCAGCAAAAAAACTACCCACTGATAGGTTATAATTGTTAACGATGACATTGTAACGACCATAGAATTTGCTGACTTAAAAACGAGGTTGTTGAAATTGTAAAATATACGTCAGAGGCCTGTCACAGTTTAAAATTGTATAGGAACAGTCACCTGAGTATCGAATAAATTTGGAGATCCAATACAACATATGCAGGTCTTTTAGCGGGATATTACTAATTACTAATCTTATTTGATTCTATAAACAGAAATATACTCACGTATGTACAATTTCTAAAACGAGGTAATTTATTGACAAAGAAGTTGATGAAACGAGAATACAAACAGTCTCGCTTAAAGTCATCATTTCAATTATATCAACAATAATTCACAATTTAAAAATCTTTGATATAATTGGTATGGGATGATTATATCAAATAATGATCGATCTAAAAAAAAAAGTCGAAAACAATACAAATCAATATAAAGTGAAGATATCAATAAAAAGAAAAGGAGGTATAGATTTTATGTTTTAAGTTATGTTATGTTTTAACTTTTAAGTAATAATCACAAAGATGTGCTGTCGTATTTAACTTTTATTTCGTACGAGTACTTGGTACTTCTCTGTGTCATCTTATGGAGTGATATTAATATCATAACAAGAGTTTTTAAAGATATCATTAAGAAACGAAAGAGTAGCACGCGGACAAAATATGAGCAAACAAACGGACGATCGATCGAGACTTAATCTATATCTCCACTTTTATTGAAAACTAGAGAAATTAATGCATTGCTTGAAAAGTTTGGTAACTTAAAAATACTTTGTAGAGTTATTGTCGTTCTAGTAAAAGCAAGAAAGTAAATGGGTTCTAAAGAGATATTTTCCCGAGGATTTTTTTTTCTGTTTTAAAGCCATTTGTCTCACTCCAGAGAATCACTTCGTGGAAAAGCCTGACTTTGGAATATTTTCAATCTACAACACCGGTCACACTCACGGTGAGCTCTAAGTATGATCAGGAATACGGAATATTTCGTAGTCATACTACACAATAATATCTCTATAAAGACGCGTGTTTAAAAAAATCAAATCAAAGTTTTTTTCAAGAATATTTAAGAAGCACTAATTGAGTTATGTTTATTTATT